CTATATCTCCCGGTTTTCTGATTTTTAGATTGAATGAAAAGGAGAAAGAACTTTCAGACAACCAAAAAGGGTTATGTAGTGAGGAAGAGGAGGAAAGTAAGAAAGAAAAAACCTCAGCTGTGCTTGTACTCTAGAAGTGGTCTAATATTAAACACTATTCAATTTGACTAATACAATGAAAGGATAACTATGACAGTCTGGACTAAATCAAGTTAATACTCAATTGAGAAGGCTGGACTGGAGCAAGGAGTACCGTTCTGAAAGCATTAGATGTTTTATTTTTCGGGACACTATGTCCATCTTGGTTCTTATACCAACAATGATTCGGCCGTTGTACTCTCCGGCTTTCTTCGAGGACTTGTCCTACTCGGCAACCTTCTCGCAATTTTGAACTGAGCCTGTTGTTGCACTCAATCAAAGTATGTGACTTTTCAGCACTGTCTAACACAGGGACGTGGGGACGCGAAAACCGGTCGTGATGTGCGTTGGAGGGGGGGTACAAAAAAGGTGGTGTCTTCAAAGTAGGATTCGTTAAAATTCTGAAGCAAACACCTGAAGAAAGTTGCAATTTATACGGCCGAAACGTAGACATAATGACAGATACATACATACAATTTATTTAAATTATTTTACATTTTTTTATTATTTTTGGCGCTAGTAAACTTTTGAACTTCCCAGTTGCGTACTTTTATAATCAACTTGTATTACTGTGTGGTCCTACATGTATAGTGGAAATCGACGATTTTTTTTTTTTTCCATAAAGAAAAATTAATATGACATGATGGATGATTATATTCCAGAAGTTTATTCGGAATAAAAGACTGAAAATATGATTTTTGGCGTCAAACCCCCACGGATTTATATGATGTTATATTTTTGATCGTTGAATTTGTATTAAACTGAAAACACCTTTATTAATGTTGAATTGTTGATTTTCTTGAATGAAAACATTAGAATTTCTAGATGTTCAATTTAGATGTCGTAAATGTAAATTTTAATGCGTGGGAAGTAAATATATTGTTTTTTGAGAAATGCGGGTGCAAAACTATAATAGTGACTTTTTTTTTCTTTTTCATATCTACAATGTCGTCTGCTGGAAATGTGAATTATTAGTATTACGAAAGCATACAATTTTTTAAATATAAAATATATTTTTTCTTTAATTTAAAAAAAGGAAAGCTGTAAAATGTAAAAAATATATTAAAGAATGATTGTAACAAAAAAGAAAAAAAAAATCTCGCTGCCTCAGAAGGCCACATAGACGCATCTCTGCCCACCACCATCTTGTTTCGTTTGTTCGTTACCCACTTTTCTCCCCACTCGCCAAGATCAGGCCACCGACGTTAAAACTGTTTTTTCTCACCACCCACCCCACTGCCGTGCACTCTGGATTATAGTGCAGAATGCTCTTCTGGAATTTGGTTTGAGGGTGGCAGAATGGGAGTCGGGTGTTAAAAAATCGTCTTACTTCAGTTTTGTGGCGGAACGCAAGAAAAGGCGATGAAGAGCGGGTGGATCGCGAGGTCGACGCTGGGGTGGAAGCGGGTATGAAAGCAGGTAGTATTTTGCTAAAATTCCCTTCCCAGTTTCTTTCCCTCACATCCCCAACCTTTCACACGCATGCGCGTGCGTGCGTGCCTTCAAAAGTAGGTATCGTGGTTTTCTTAATAGCTTGTTATGTTGTGAAAAAAAAAAATGATTTTACTTCGAGTTGATGAGCAGGTTATCCATGAACGGCTTGTAGCCTTTCTTTTTTCTTTGTTATTGTGGGTGACGTTTGCTGACCTTGAGAATCAGCATTCAATATCCTGTTTTGTAACCGGATTTGAACACCGGATACTGGTGCCGGTTAGAAATAACCAGGCGGAATCCGATGAACTAGCATTTTCGTATTGCGAAAATCCACTCTTAATAAAACTAGTCATTTATTGTGTTAGTGCGTAGACAATTGTGGCTCTCCACAGCTTCCTTTTCTTTAATATATATTGCTATGACTCATTGGGAAAAATAATGGAATTATTTCTTGTTGCTTTCTCTACGAATTTCTTTTCCTAGCTTGGTTGACACCCAAAGCTACTCTGCTGTTGTAGTTAGGAAGAGAAAAACGGATTCATGCCTTTCTCTAAGGGTATCTCAGTGCAAAAGTGAATGTAATATAGCTTGAATTTGGACTCTGTTCGCCGATAACTGTAATGATGTCCGTATATACCATGGGCATTTACCATGAGCTTTTTGATCGTTGAAGTGCTATGCTTCGCAATTTTTCTTCAGGGCATAGGATATTGTACGACAGGTTGTACTGGGTTACATGTTGCCAGCAGTAAGTAAACATCTCTGACCTATTTTATCGAGCACCTGAGATGAACTGCATTACCAGGTCAAAGAGCCATTTATACGAAGTAAACGCAAACTGTTCCACTTGAGGTTTGAACTCGTTTCGCCTATTCCATTCTTTATATCGTTAATCTTTTAGTATCCGCGTATTCTCCAACTTTTATTGCGTTCATAAAATCCTCGCCATAAACTTTTTTCAATTACCTCGTTATTGATCAAGTTCATCGCTGACTAACTTAAAAAAAAAAAACAAGAACCAATTCGTTGTTATGTACTAAGTATAGCTTAGTTTCGACACAAGACCACAGGTTTTGAGCGACTAGTGAGAATCAAACTCACTATTCAGTAGTAATGGTCAACCATATTGCCTCGCCAGCCACTACCCAGCACCGCGCCAGTACGTTTAAAACATGACTTATAGTAAGTCAGCCTCGTAAGACATTGCTGGCAAGTTTGATCCTCACCAGGTGCTTTATTATCGTGGCCTTATGCCAGGCTAGAATTTCGTCCATTTTCACTTTGCGTTATTGTTCGTTTATCATTAAACGCTCTGTAGCATGTTATCGTGGATCTATAACATTAAATCAAAATGAATCGCTGACGAACTATTTTTTTTTTTCGCAATCATTCAACACTTTACACAGACTGAAAATCATTACTCCCCCTCTCCTTATGAAAATGATGTGACCTAATTTTAGTGTGCAGATTCTTAGACGCGGTCCCACTGACTGAAAAGCGGCTCCACCCTCCCTCCCGCCTCTAAAAACACTCTGGTGACGCAGACACACGAAATAACTTTCTCGGTATTATCGAGCTCTGTTGCAAAAATACGTAGCGTCAGATTAATCGAATAGGTATTATTAACTCTTCCCTCCTTGAGGTTAAATGGTTAACGAGCTAGTCTAGCAAATTATTATTACTACTCTATCGGGAGTTCCATTCTCACCAACTGCCGCAGACTTGTGGCTTTGAATTACCGTATATTTCCCCGTGTAAGTTGACCTTTAGATAAGACGAGGTCAAAAAAATATAGCAAATTTTCCTGAATTTTTATCTAATTTCTGTAGTATAAGACGACTGCTTATTTATTATATAAAGATGATATTATTAGAAATGTTTTTACTTACTGTATCCTTAGGAATTAAAAATAAACGAAATAAAACCAATTCTGTATCATGTTTTTCCTACACATGCCCCCTAAAAGGGAAGCCATCGTTTTGTTTACGTTTCATCACGTGATCTCTTGCGAATACTGATTCTTCTTCCCCCCCCCATATCTAAGCAGTTATAAACAGCCTGGTATACTAATGGCCATTTACTTATACTTCATTGACAATCACAATATACCGCTAATAACAGTACGAGAATGGACGATAATAGTACATTCCATTGTTGTGAATGCAATCATAACTCGATGTTTACATTTTCTCCGCTGAGCTTGCCTGGATACAAGTTGATTTCATTGATAAGGAATTATTTTCGAATAGGCAATTTATTGAAAAAAAGTTATGCTAGATATATAACGGTAGTAATTGTTTTATGACTTATTATCAGTTTATTTGATAATTTGAATCTTTTCATGTACGTTATTGGTTGTTGCACCGAGGCCAGGGTTAGCCTACCGATAAACATCAATCAAAATTTAAGGTTTCTTTTTTAGAATTGTAGTATAAGACGAACCCCAATTTTTAAGGGTGTTTTTTGGGGATTTAAACGTCGTCTAATACGCGGAAACATATGGTAGATTAAATCTAATTGTGTCGGAGGTGTTGAATTATTAAATTAACGATTTGAAGTTTGTTTTCTTCAAAAATCTTTTAAAATTTTAAGTTTGCAATCGGCACGGAAAGTAAAACCGAAGATCTGAGTTCAAATTGCGGCTAGTCTGTTGCGTTCACTTTTACACTAATGCCAATCGGAAAGACATTAATCCGTCTAATGTTTCCCCAGAGAAATATCAAATTAGTTTGAGCTTTCTTGCCATGGGTCGCAACCGGCCTAAAACAAGGAAAACTCTGAATTCCAAATGCGCCCATTTCGCTACCAAGGTGAAAGTTTAAAAACTATGTGGAGAAGGCAACAGGAAACTGCTCTACTTTTTTTTTAAGGGGGGTTGTTTTTTTGGGGGTTTGTTTTTTCACAAGAAACCGTGGCAATTCACTGATATATTATTAATTTAATAATATATACGTGAATAAAAATCCCTATACTAATCTTTGGCACACCCACTGACGCAAGAAAAACAAGAACTTTAACTAAAATTTCGGACATGCTAGAAATGATTAAAAAATTTAATAAAATAATCAAAAAATACTTTTGTCTTTCCTCTTAATAACATAAACATTCTGACGATAAAACTGTTTTTATCAGGTTTAGGGCCTTTTTTCATCATGGTATGTTCTTTTTTTCAACGAATTATTGGAGGTACCTATTATTAAATAAGTGGAAACTGGAGAGCCGTGATTGCCTTCATCATTAAGAGACATGTTATTAAAACAAAATGTGAAACTCACTCAGGAGAAGACAACTCCTCAAATTTCAACATGGGCGTGAAAGACCATACTCTATGACGAACATTCTAGTTCTTATAAATATTTAATCCATTTATACCTTTTATATGTGGAAAACCGGTCAAAAATGAATACCGTTTGGCATTTTTTCGAAGAAAAAAAAACGACCGAAATAGTTTTATTTATTTATTTATTTATTTATTTATTTTTAATTATTATTGCTTAATGCAACGATGTTTATGTCAATGGCTTATCAACGGCTATCTGTCTTCTTTATGCAACTCTCTCCAGCTAGGTGTCTCCCAATTTTGTGTATATCAACCAAAGTTTTCATTTTATTAATCGAACATCTTTTTCTTACAAGCTTTTCCTGTTGTTGTCTATATCTTATTCAGTTAGTCTGATCTTTCTTGTCAGTCACTTCGTGTACGCCTATTTGTCAATCTGTCCGTATCTGCCGAGTAATCTATCCAGTCTCCTTGTATCTGCCTTTATGTATGTTAGTCTATCCATACCTGCTCCATATCTGTCATTCTATCCCTATTTGCCTTCCATCTGTCATTCTGTCCCTATTTGCCTTCCATCTGTCATTCTGTCCCTATTTGCCTTCCATCTGCCATTCTGTTCCTATTTGCCTTCCATCTGCCATTCTGTCCCTATTTGCCTTCCATCTGCCATTCTCTCCCTATTTGCCTTCCATCTGTCATTCTATCCCTATTTGCCTTCCATCTGCCATTCTCTCCCTATTTGCCTTCCATCTGTCATTCTATCCCTATTTGCCTTCCATCTGTCATTCTATCCCTATTTGCCTTCCATCTGCCATTCTCTTCCTATTTACCTTCCATCTGCCATTCTGTTCCTATTTGCCTTCCATCTGCCATTCTGTTCCCTATTTGCCTTCCATCTGCCATTTCTAAATTATTTGCCTTTCATCTGCCATTCTCTCCCTATTTGCCTTCCATCTGTCATTCTATCCCTATTTGCCTTCCATCTGTCATTCTGTCCCTATTTGCCTTCTATCTGTCATTCTGTGCCTATTTGCCTTCTATCTGTCATTCTGTGCCTATTTGCCTCCCATCCGTCATTCTGCCCCTATTCCCCCCACATCTGTCATTCTGTCCCTTTGCACTCCTATCTGTCATTATGTCCGTATCTGCTTCCCTATCTGTCATTCTGTGGGTACTTTGCCACCCTATCCCTCAATCTGTATATGCTTCCCTATCTGTCAATCTGTCTGTGTCTGTCCCTATATATCCTGTCTCTTCGTATTTGCCTCTCTATCTGTCAGTCTCTTCGTATCCGCCTCCCTCCTTCTGTCCGTATCCGTCTCTCTGTAAGTCTCTACATATTTGTTAGTCTGTCTATATCACTCTGACCAGATCTGTCTGTCGGTGTCACCATCTACACTTTATTTAAATGAATCTTTGTACATCATATTTCTGCCTGTTTTTGCTCTTCATTTCTTCTAATATTTGTGTTTGCCTTCACTTTGTTAACCCCTCTATCTAGATAGCCTTGCCAATCGACTTAAATCTATGTGTTTCGCTTTCTCTGTCCATCTCTCCCACCGCCACCACCCCATCTACCACTTTGCCTAATCAGTAACTCTCACCTCTTCTTTCTATAAACAGCCCCACCCACGCCTCCTTCGCCGCCATTGTGCTCTGCTCATACCTTCAGTCTTTCTTGAAACATTTTTTTTTATCCAATGTCCCCTATTTTAACAATAATTCCCTTAGCCGATCTTTGAGAAACCGTTTCCCATTTCTAATTTTCTTCCCCCCGATTCTAATGCTTCTGCAAATCGACAACGAAACACACAAGAACGTCCTTTTCCACAAACTTAAACACTTTAGGCCATTTTTTCTCCTTGAATTTATTTCTGGGATTTTTTTTCTCTCTCCTTGTTCCTCGCCTATTTGTTTCACCTCTTTCGTCCCATTGGTCCCATTTATGTTTACGCCTCCGCCTTTCTTTTTTCATTCAATTGGATTCTAATTTTTTTCTGCGACAAGTTTGCCATTTCCTATGTCGGTGTGTTTACACGCTGGGAAAGGCCGCCGTGTTAATGCACTCTTTATGAATATACGTTACTATTAATTCCCAATGGGGATCTCTTCGTGTAGAAAAAAAATCTTTGACTCTTCAACTAGAAGTGTGGTTAGAGTGCTTGACCTCATAAAACTATTGAACCTGTCATCAATCTATATATATATATAATATATTATATATATATATATACCCACACCTGATTTCCCCTTAGTACTGAGGCTTTCCAGCCTGTTGGAAGTCCTTATCTGTTGTCCCTGTTTTTAGCATTCTGACCCATATAACTACCGTCCTATCAGTCTCCTACCACACTTCAGCACAGTCTTCAAAGGTTTAATCAATAGGGCAATTGTTAAGCAGATTTACATCTCCTGATCTACTCTCTGACAAACAATATGGTTTCCGCTTTTTTAGTCTACTGCTGACGTGCTTACATGGTCATAACTGAATTTGTATAACAAGCTCCAAAATAATAATGGCGAAGCTCGACCTGTGGCTCCAGATATCTCTAAGGCGTTTGACAGGGTTTGGCATGCTGGCCTTCTTCGTAGCTTCAGGGATACGGTATTACAGGAACGATTATTTGATTTAATCAATCATTCCTGTCATTTTTGTGAAATGAAGGTCTTCCTAAATGGCTTCTCTTCCAGTTTTTACATATGAACGCTGGTGTTCCCAAAGGCTATATCCTGGGTCCTACACTGTTTCTGATCTTCATCAACGATCTTCCTGATGCCATCATTTCACAAATAGTCATCTACGCAAACGACACTACTATTTACTCCTGTCTCAATAGTAAATCCGGCATCACTGATAAAGCTAACCTCGCTGATGGACTCGAAAAGGACCTTCAATCTGTGGTTGACTGAGACAGGAAATGGCTTGTAAACTTTAATGTCCCAAAATGAAACTGCTCTCATTTACCCACCATAGAGAACACTCCCTGCCTCCTATCAGAATTGCTGACGCCCAACTCCACGAAAGCATTTCTCTGCTCCTACTTGTCCTCACGTTTTCCACTGACCTGAGGTGGAACAACTATATTGAATCAATAGCTTCATCTACCACAAGGAAAGTTGGTTCTCTGTGTCGCGCCAAAAGCTTTTTCTCGTCTGAGTCCATCCTTCAAATCTACCATTCGTTCTTGCATTGAATACTGTTGCCATATATGGTCTGGTGCCCCTGCTGTTTACCTCGAGGTCCTAGACAAAATCCAGAGACGGATATGCAATGTGATATGTCCTGATCTCGCATCTCGTCTACAGTCACTTTCTCACAAACGTGATGTGACTTCGCTCTGTCTTTTCCAGAAACATTTTCATGGCTACTGCTCTGACGAGCTACTTTCACTGTCGAAATCCAAACTGCATGGCCGCCCGTCTTCTGCTCCGTCAGTTTCTTCTCTGGCACTTCGGTCACAGTTTTTTGTATATATAAATAGTTAAATGTGGCCGCGTCTTCGAGGAACCCAACAGGAAGGGCGGCTAGCTAATCCCATATTGCAGAACTTTTTTTCATTTATGCTTGTTCAACACCCATAAGAGCCAAATGGTTTAAATGCAATGTACATTGATAAACAGGCTTTTAGTTTGATTTCTGGGAAAAGAGCATCTTTTATCCTTTGATCAACAATCTGAACAAAGCCACCATGCTCAAACACTGGTCACGATGACTTGTGACTTTTGCTAGTACAGCTAGGCCCCTAGGAGATACCGTCTACTCAGTTTCATTCACAAAGCTTCTATTCAACTAAATGTAAATTATTTTCTGAAGCATGGGAATTTATCCCCCTCCAGACCGATTTAACATCAGTTTATATCCTTCCTGATGAATCGAAATGACTTATTTGGGATTCGGAATTGGATCTCATTTTAAGATATTTTTTTATTTTTTCCCCGAGAATTTATTATAGAGAAATCTTTTTAACGGTGGAAAATTGGATTTGATATTTGTGTGTGTGTGTGTATATATATATATATATATATATATATATATATATATATATATATATATATATATATATATATATATCTTACAAACACATTCAATTTGGGGTCAAATACAATAGACATGGTTACAATTTTAATAAGACGACTAAATTAAAAAAATTTTTGACGTATGTACTGATAAAAACATTCAAACAAAGCAGGAGAGCCGGGCATTGCCTGGGATGTAACATTAAGAGATAGATCAAGTATCAACCATCATAAAGACTGAAAAATAAAATTGACAAAGATTATTGTTTATAGGTTGACGGACACACATGTCTTAATTGGTTTTATTTTATTTTTTTTTTTTAAAAATTGGTCAAGTAAAAACTCGAACAAAAACAGTTTTCAATCGTTATGAGTTTACCGATTGAATAGAATTTTATTATAAAAATTGTCTTGTAAATGGAATTTTTAAAGCATTCTGAATGTAAAAATAAAAAAAAGTGTGCAAGACAATAAGAAACGCTACCTGCCAAAAAAAAGTGAAGTTTTGTTGAAATAAGTTGAAAACGGGAAATTCGATCCCATATATCATACAACACACACAACAACCAACCTGGGTTTTATAATAAGTATAACTTGATAACTCGATATGAGTTGTCCTCCTTTCATTAATGCCTCTTAATCATGTTTTCAAATTGATTTTGTGCCGAAAAAACAATTGTGTTTTTCCAATTTTTGGTGCTAATCAGAACCACCGCAAGGTAATTTTACGTAGTCCTGTGAAGTTTTGTTGAAATTGGTTGAATTTGTGGGGAAATCCAATCCAATATATAAACGTACGGACACACACACACACACACACACACACACACAATCTGCGTTTTATAATAAGTAAGATAAAATCATTGACAGTCCGAAGAAATTCATTCTAAGAACGAAATGCATTATATATTATATTCTATGATGTCATTAAATTGCCCACTTTTAGTCAGATATATAGATTTGCATATCACATATATAATCTTGCATATAGCTGTTTCACTATATACATATTAAAATAATGTATGAAGGGGCACTGAAAACTGCTCTGACTAAAAAGGGGACTCCGAAAAAAAAATCTGTTTGTTAACTGGGTTAGATTTCAGGGAGTTCGTCGAGCAAGATCTTTTCATTTCCATAGTTTTGTCAATAGACAATGTTTTTTATAAAATGTGTTTGTGTTTTGTAATGAGATGGTATTTGAGAACAGGTATTTAGTGACCCATAAATGGAAGGTGACACAACATTTTTACGAGGCATGCACCAAATTTTCCTATTCTCCTTTAGACGCATCGATTGCTTTAAAATGGCCGAGTCAAATCTGACACTGGAAATGAAAATGGACGTCACGCACGTGTCAGTGGCAGACAACCACAGCGACTCGAAGGCGGTCAGATGATTTTACCTGGCCAGGTGGTTCTATTTGGGCCCCAATGGAGGTTATGGCTGTAATGGTCTTGAGCAACGAGGGCCATCTCAAGCCGTCCTATTTCTTCTTCCTAGAAGAGGTCAAATGTCAATCCCTGAACCGAGATCGCTGGCCGGACAGATTCTATCAAATAAAATCCTTCCAAAATATAACATGAGAAGTGAAAATTTAATATCTTACTGAGAATTTTTACGATCATGTCACCCTCAGCACGTGGGCTCCGCTTGACTAGTACATTTAGGGTGTCGCAGGGAAGGAGCCCAACCAATATCAAAGTCTCGTTGAAAGCCGCCATCTTGTACGAGAAACACCCGATCAAAGCACGCAATTGCTTCCTATGGAATCTCGGGATTGATTTATTGAATAACCTATCTTTTCTCTTTATCTAAAACGAACATGTGTAAATATTTTTGGATATGTACTAATTTTTTTTGTTAAATATTTGTTGTTTTTTGGGGGATATATATATATATATATATATATATATATATATATATAATTTGTTTGCAATTTCCTGGCGGATCTTGCATCGATCTGTGTTTTTCTTTCTTTTTCATTTTTCTCTCTTCGCCTTTTCCTATTCCACACTTTTGAACCCCTTTCTTTCTCTCCCCCCTTCTCTCTCTTTCTTTCTCCTTTCTCTCTACTTTTATTTCTCTTCTTTTTAACCTCTGCTTTCCCATCCTCTTAAAAAACATCCTCCTCGGTTCACAAATTTATCACGTTGAAAAATGATTTACCGAATTTAGGCAACGTCGAGCCTGGTCAGTACTTAGATCAGTAACCGCTTGGGAACACCAAGCAAACAAAAATGTAATTTAGATAATGGGTTTTGTTTTGTTAACTTTTCGGAATTGAAAATTGGAAAAAAGTTCCAATTCCAGATCGGTTCATTATATTTACTTACGCGCAAATACTCTTGGGAAAGGCATGAATCCACCTTTTCTTCTCCCTAAATATGGGTTAATTAGTAGAACTATTATCAGTAAATAACTATTATCTCGTAATCTAAGAAATTCTAGCTTTAAACAACCTGCAAACGGTTGATAAGCCGTAAAAAAAACAAATCAATCCTCACACTTCCCCCATTTTCCTCTTTCTTTCCCTCTTCCATTTCTTTTCCGCTTTACTTCTCTTCCCTTCCTTTTTTTCTATCTCTTTCCTTCCTTCTTATTCATCTCTTTCCCTCTTTATCCTTCTTTTCTTCATTTCATCCTCATCTTCTATTTCTCTATTCATTATTTCTCCGTCTTTCTTTTTTCCTCCCCATCTAAAAAGATACAAAAACTTCTGTCTTCTTTTTTTTTCTTCTCTCTTTTTTCTCATTTATTATTAAAGCTGTTCATCTCTCTCTGTGTTAAAACTGTCTCTTTTCTTCTAAGGGAGTACATTTGTGTAACTAATAAAAATAGATATGTTTTCATTCATTACCCTTTATTTTATAAATATCTTTCCTTGACTTCGTGTATATTCATATCTCATATGCATACAATTTTCAAAAGCGTATTTGTTGAACTGGCACAAGGTTATACTTCAAAGAGCACCAACATATGGGTTTTATATATTTAGATATTTATTTATATATATATTTTCTATGAAACGCACACTTCTCCACGTTTTTGTCTCTCAACTCTTACAGCCACTCCCCAGATATCACTTTAAACATGGATGGAGGATGAGAGTCGAAAAGGATGCTTGGTATGTGAGGTTGGTTAGAAAGTAGGGCTTAGTAACGGGCACTCGGCCATACTTTACTAGGGCTGTTGTTATGCGTGAGTGAGAGAAAGAGATGAGTAAAATGTAAGTGAGGTGGGTAGAGGGTATAAGTGGGTCGGACGGAATGTAAAGAATTGATATAAAGACAAAAAAGAAAAGAGAGAGAATAAGTAAAAACGATGGAGGTGTGAAAGAGAGTGAATAAAACAGGCAAAATGAAATAAAGAACTTTAAAAAAAATTGTGTAAAAGAAAGGACATAAGAAAGCGAAGAGAGGGGACTTTTTTTAAAAAAAAAAAAAGGGAAAAAGAGGGGGAAGAAGATAGAAATGAAGGCGTCAGACAACCGAAGAAGAAAGCAAAAAAAAAACGATGAAAGAAAATAAGACGAAAGAATTACGAAGAAAAAAAATGAATGAAAAAAAAAGATAGAGAAAGAACGAAAATAAGGCAAAAAAAATGTTATAAATCTAAAGGAAGAGATAAACTA